CCAGTCTGGCAGAGAAGGAATAGTACAGCCTCTATCAGTTTCCTTTCCATCCAGTCCTCCAGATGTTTTCCCTTTGGGAATTTAGATATGCATTTTGCTTGTAATTGGAGAATACACAGTCCAATTTGAAACAAAAGTTTGAAAAGAAAAACAACAAAAAAACACACAACATTAAACTGAATATGCAGTTTTAACCATAGAGAAATGTCCAATAAAGATGACATTTTCATTTTGAAACACTTTTTTATTTCAGAATTTCCATATTTTATTCATACTTAATCCCAATAATTCAAATAAAACAAATCAAAACAAAACAAAATAAAATAAAATAAAATAAATAAAATAAAATAAAATGTATTTTATTTCCAAATAAGAAAATATATTTCTGAAATTTTGCTTGTAGAAATTTTTTTTAGTGCTCCAAATAATGTAACTATCTCAAATATGTTAATAGTTTTATACCCTGATCTCTTACAAAACTTGAGTTCTAGTCTTACAATAATCAGTGTAGATGAATCAGTTTGCAAGCCTGAGGCTCTGATACAAGCTATTAACTATTGATACTATTCACCCTTCACAACTCAATTGTTTAAAATAATTTGAAACTGATGACCTCAAATGGTCTACATTTTTTTTAATTGCAAACTTCAAAATAGTGTGACCCCACATGACAATAATTTGACATAGTCTCTATAATCTACAAATCTCATTGCTGTGTGATGATCTTGTTTAATCACCAGTGTAATCTTTACATAATCTCCCTCCCTTAATAAAGGTGTGCATTATGATGTGGAATTTGACAGAATTTAGGAGTTGGGACAGGAAATAATTTCTTATTACCCTGTTGCAAATACGCCTTACATTAATTTTACTACCAATGTAAATCTAGTGATTTTTCTTAAGAGCAATACTCATTAATATTTGCAAATCCATCTTTAACCCCATGAGTCTGAAGTAAATGAATAAATAAGCAAGCTCTGAAGAGATACACTGTCTATTTTGCTTCTATAATTAGAGGGTTCAGCTGGAAGATGTGGGAGAACTAACATCTATGCTAACTCTGGCCAAGTGAATGGGAATTTTTCAGCTGATTCCCATCAGCTTTGGACTCAGTCCCCAAATTCTTACAGCTCAGGAGGAGAGCAAAATAGTATGAAGTGGTTTCCACAAATATTGCTTTAACAGAACTTCAAGATTTCTTTTTTAAACTCAGCTTTGGTGAGGAAAGTGAGAAGAACAAGTAGCATCTGCATGGAGTGCAAGTTGGCAAAAAATCTAGTCTGCCACTTTCCAAATTGTTTTAGAAATGTTTGGCACGTCTCAGTCACAAATTACAGCTGATTATAATTTCACAGTATGTGCAAGCAGATGGAGGATATGAATTGGGGAAAAGTTTCACCCCAGACAAATTAATTATTAGTAAGTATTTTCAGATTAGAAGTTAAATATTAAAACTGTGGTTTGAAATAAAGAATTATGGGATGTCCACGTAATCTATAGCTTTGAATCAAATATTTTATAAACACTTTGACACCTGGTTGAATAATTTATGATTTTCATAGGTAAAAATATTACATATTAAAAAGAAAATATTTTTGAAATTCTGAATTACTGGTCATTTTTTTCAAGTTATCTGTTAAATCAGCAAGCTCATGAGCAGTTAGAAACAGAAAACACTCTTCACAGGGAAGACAGAAAGTTTCAAATATTTTTTTTTCCACTATTGGTAAAAAAAAATAGAAATAATAGAAAGATTCAGAAACCTAGTTTCAAAGCACTCTTTACTTTTTATGGAATTCATGTTTCAATGCATTAAATATTACCTGTTACCCGTCTACACTTTTAAAAGCTAGGCCAAAGACATATAGGAAGACATAGGACATCAGAAAGGGAGGCCTCAATTATATAAGGACAGAACAGAGAAACATGCTAAATGCTTTTGTTTCACAAAATTAGTGGACAAAGGGGTGGGTGACATCCTGCTCTTTTCTCTGAACTTGTGATCCTGGAGATGAAACAGGTGCTCATAAAAATGCTGGCCAGGAGAACTGCTGTGTTTTTTCTGTGGTCATCACACCCAGACACACCAAGCAGGTAAGCAAAGTGTAACATTCTCTAGACATACATGCAATTCAGCTATTCATAAAATAACTCCTGCATGTATATTATTAAAAACAAAATCTAAAACCAAACCAAACACCACCAACAAAAGATTTTTCTTGGCAAGAAAAAAAAATTGGCATGCCTGCAGTCAAACTGGTATCTGAGAAGAGCAATAGTTATTCAGGTTATTCGAGTTCTTAGGAATCCAAGGAATATGGTTCCTTTTTAACAGGAAAATATTTGATTTGAACAGAGAAGTAAAATGACAGTTATTTCTCTGAAAGAGCAAAACTGGACTTAAATATTGTTCCTGTTCTTATCTCCTTATTTTTTAAAGAGGAAATTAACTTAAAAAGCTTAAATATTGTGGTTCCTATGTAGAGTCTGAAAGTGATTTATTAATATCTAAATGGCTATGGAATGCACTGAAACTGAAAATGAACATATGAAAAAAATTCCGTACATCTTGAATCCGATAAAAAAGACGGTACTGCACGTTGTAGAGTATTTATCATTACTCCATCTAAAGATTTTGTTTACAATGAAGTTCAGCTTTAACTATTTTCCCTAATTAATTTTCATTTTTTCCAAATCCTTATGAAAATCTGAACTGTATTATAAAGAAAAATGTTTCTTGGCCATGCTTTCAATTTTCCCTGGAAAACCTCTTAGTCAGCTGATGGTGCTTATGCAGTGTAGTGAATTGAATATAATGTATGTTCAATGACTGTCCTGTGAACAGAAGCTTTACTGGATCTTTGGGATTATGTCAGACTCACCTTTTTAAATATTTCACATTTTTTATAATGCATTATAGGCTGATAGGAAGATGCAAAGTTATTGAAATAACCAACAGCAATTCAACCAATCCACACTTTTACCAAATAGGATAGTCAGCTCCTCCAGGTGTTTAAACATTATGAAAATGTTAAAAGATATCATCAGGCTCTAGAAAGGAACAATTTGCTAAATCACTTTGGCCACTGATGCTCTCTAAAACACAGGAAAAAAAAAAAAAAAAAAAGGAAACAAAACTATTTCAAAGCACTTGGCAATTTTTGATCTTCATCTTACCAAGAGACCTGTGTAAAATAGATGAGTAATCACCTAATGATGCATTTAAATACATTATGTTTGTGTATATTTCTTTATACTATCATGCTTAGACATTATCAAGCTTAGATATTTTATATTTTTACAATGTTGAATGTGATAGAATTATATATTTGTCTCAGGGTTGCTACTTTAACATATATCTAATAATTTTCCTGTCCTTAGAATGACAGTTTTCAGTGGTAACAACAAAGAATTGTTATATGTACTAAGGAAAAGTGCATATGGATATGCACAAGGGAGTCATATGGCTTGGTTTAATAAGATAGCATTTGCCTTCTTTCCCAGGCAGTGTGATTTGAGTAAACTTGTTTTGGTTTGCACTGCAACTGCTAGAAGTGTACACATGATCAGTTATTATGCATAAGATGATGAATTGTATCTTACAAACAGTGATTTATGAAAATATATTTACTTTATTATTTATGCTCATCTAACCATACTCAAAAACTCAGTTTCATATAAATCTATAAATATAAAACATAACTTTAGTAAAGAGAAAAATCATGTTTCAAATCTGCAGCTAAGTTTCTGCAAAGCTAGATTTCTTTTCAGTACTGCAGAATTTAGAACATTTTGGAGGGTAAGGTATGGTTAGTTTAGACAATGAGATGCAAAATGACAGGCTAAAATCCTGCTTGCACCTTTGTCAGTGGAAAGTTTCCTATGAACTCCTGTTCAGCCATTTCACCCAATATCTGGTTAGCGTGGGGTTTCTGAGTTTGTAAACACAAAGTTGAGCTATCTGTACATTTTGAGTTTAATAAATGTTGGTAATGAAGAAATAAGTTGCCTAAGTACTTAGGATTTGTATGCAGTTTCAAGTTATTAAATGTCACTGAATATTTTAAATGTGATACCACATATAAACATTGGGATATGGGTGAATACTATTGAGGTTGCTTACCCTGGAACATGCTTCATGTTCCAAGTGTTTTATACTGTATACTGTATACTTTTAGTCAGACCTGCAAACTCTTTAATAAGTGTGACACAAGTTAAAAAACACCTTGATTTACCATGATGACTATCTGATTGCATAATAAAGCAGTCTTTCACCCTAACACTGTCTTTCCCTAGTGGTTGTTTCAGAAGATATCAATTAGCCATATATTAATCCCATATTATTATTAATTGCCATAATTAACATAAGAAAATCAACACAAAATGAGATACCAGAAATCTGTAAGAACAACTGAGAAGCATTTACTTTGTGATAAGTTGTTCTCTTTTCTTAATATAATTATTCAAAAATATATTCCTGAGATATCAACAATGTGCACACACATGTACTTGTATGTTTGTATATATCATGCACAGATATCTAACTTTATCTGTTTATGTACTTATTCACTGTTTATTATTTCCTAATAATTGTCCATAAAATAGAAAACTATTAATGGTGTGATATGCAAGTAACTCTAAATTAAGCTGTTCAATTAATAGGACTACCGCATACCAGTTTTTGCCAGTTGTCTTATGTTGAGACCAACTTTAATTAACACCTCATAAAACATACCAGCCTCTTACAATTAATGAATTTATTAGACACAAAGGCTATATGTTTAAGAGGTCTCCACTACGTAAATTAGATCTGAACTATGAGATAGATCTGCTAAATACTACAGATTTCATACATAGTAGAAATAAAGATGCAAATCACATAACAATAAATTCAAATCTTTGTTATAAACACCCTGGAGAAAACTTTAACAAATCATAACTGTCAACAGGATGGATGATGAAAGTTTATGTCATGCAAAAGAATACAAATCATTCTGCTGTTGCAAGCATCGTTCTTTTATTTTCTTGGTTGTAGGCACATCATCAACTTTAATGATAAAAGCCTTCCACAAAAATAATTCTTAAGCCTCAGGAACAAACACCTCTTTGGCACCCTGAGAGAATGCTCCACAAACATCATCAATCTCCTTCTGAGTATGATTTACAGCCTTTCCCTTTGGCCGGCTCAAGCTGTCCGTGTGCATGCCCCGGCAGCGTCACATTGGGATTCTCCTCCACTTTGTCCTCCAAGCGCACACTACTTGATTGGTATTCTTGCCATCAGCTTTCCAAACACCTCTGGAAAATAGGAGAAGGAAGTTTGACTATAATCCCTTCCATGTGGACATGTTTGAAATATACAACTCACATGAGAGAAAAAAGGAAGGAATACATATCTGGACACAAACTAATGGGCCAAGGTCTCTTTTCCAGACAGATTTATTGTGTGCAGCCAGGAGGGATGTTTACAAAGAAGACGCTAGTCTCTCCCGGACTGTCTGGCTCCTCTAATTTATTTAATTGCCTATATCTACTAATGGACAGTCCATACACCAAGAGAGCCAAAACACAAAGCATCGTTTAGTGAGATTCATTTCCATCTGTGACACAACTTTTGTGCCAGTTGCTGCATATGCATGGGAGAAAGGTTGATGAAGGCAGCCGTGCACCAGCTGAGGCTCCCTTAAAGAGGTTTAAGTGTTCTCTTTTTCTCCTCCTTGTATCGCTGAACTGCAGGAGAAGGGTGTGATGTGGTTGCTACCTTCTGCAGGAACCAGTCCTGTGGGTAAGTATATATATTCATTTAAGGGAGTGTAAATGATAGGAAAATCTGAATCATTATATGCATTGAAGCAGCAGAAGAAAGGATGTAATGCAACATGATAAAATAACTCAAGCTTAAATTTAGTGTCTGAGAGTGCAGCCCCCTCTTCATGACTCACCTAACTGAAGTTCACTTGTGGACTGCAGGTGTCTGATAAATGAACTCTTTCTGGCCGCTGTCTTTGAATTTCAAGAATACAGCCAGTGAACCAGAGTTGAAGACATCTATTGTTTTTTAGAAACATGCACTCACTGAAACACATGTACATTCAGTAATAATTGTTGCCTGACTTCAGTGAAACAGTAGAGTTTCACGGAAAGAAGGTTTGCATTGAGTGAAACAGTAGATAACTATGAGCCCAGTCATATTTATAGGGGAAAACAAATGAAGGAGAAGAACCTAGAAAGGTAAATCTACAAATGCATTCATAAAATCTTTGTGGTGTTTTATAAAGCCTTGAAAACTCACATGCTTTCATTGAATGCAGGCGTATTTAAGATCTGTCTGTACTTACAACTAATCATTTATATTTTCCTGGTAAGAATATAGTTTTTCCATTTATGTTCATAGCTGAAGTCAGGCAACAATTATTACTGAATGTACATGTGTTTCAGTGAGTGCATGTTTCTAAAAACCATGAGCAAACAGAAATGCTCAGCTACCTAAGTATCATCTGGTGTTAAGCATCTTATTCCCCTCCTTTGGGAATTGTAATCCTTATCACTTTTATCTGTATAATAGGGATAACATTTCCCAAACTCCCAACAGCTCTATAGAGTGGCATATATTGACTTTTGCTTTTTTAAGGAGCTATATGAAGACAAAACATTCTCAAAATGAGAACTGTGGAACTGCTATGCAAGTGAACAGTTCGGTCTGTATCTAGTGGTTTATTTTGAAGCATTCAGTCATGAAGCCAGACACTGATTGTATTTTTAATAAGGCTGGCAGAAAGTTTTCTATATATGGTGGAAAAACAGTATTTCAGTGAACTGAATCATTTTTTGAGCGTCTGCTTTACAGAACAAGTTTTAAATTTGTGACCAGATTTAAAATATTAAAGCTTAAATAACGAGTACTTGTAAAGTTTTTATGATAAACTTATATTTTTGTCAAAGGGAAGACCAAACATCAACTCCTAATTATGTATTTTTACACAAGGTAATCCAATGTCATACAGTGTTATTGCCTTGTATTTCTGGAAACTTCAGATGACTTTTTGAACACTGAACAGCAGTCTATGTGTGTATTAAAACTGCATTTACAGCTATTAGAGAAATTTTGTTTTTATTCTGCATTCTGCAGTTAAATTCATATTTATTTTGGAACAGTTACTTATAGACAAAGTTACCAATTAGTTCTAAAAAAAAAAATAAAATACTTGAGATTTTGCCACTATTCTTCCAAGGAATGCAATTATCTTGTGCAGAATGTCAATGCATAATTTCAGAAAAAAGATTGAATAAACAATTTTAAGTACATTAAAGGAGGCTGTAGCGAGGTGGGGGTTGGTCTGTTCTCCCACGTGCCTGGTGACAGGACGAGGGGGAATGGGCTTAAGTTGCGCCAGGGGAGTTTTAGGTTGGATCTTAGGAAGAACTTCTTTACCGAAAGGGTTGTTAGGCATTGGAACGGGCTGCCCAGGGAAGTGGTGGAGTCACCATCCCTGGAGGTCTTTAAAAGACGTTTAGATGTAGAGCTTAGTGATATGGTTTAGTGGGGTCTTGTTAGGTCAGAGGTTGGACTCGATGATCTTGAGGTCTCTTCCAACCTAGAAATTCTGTGATTCTGTGAATTTTCATATGTAAGAATAGCTATGTAACTTCATCCTAAAGGAGTAAAAGCAACACTAAATTATCATTCCACTTTACCTACAGCCTAAGACACCAGTGGTGAGAAGCAGGAAAGTGGAAGCATGACTAGTGATTTAAGTAGAAGGAGAATTTAATCTACTGAAAATAAGGAAAGCTGTGATGGCCTCATGGCTTTCGTAAGCTCTTGCTTCCTTGCAGTATCAGTTACCAAGCCAACAACGTGCACAATTTTTAGTGTAACTTCTTTCTGTTCAGCTGCTTAATTTCATTATCATGTATATTTTAAAAACATGAAATAAAATTCTGAAGGCTTTGATGTGTGTAGTTTGCCAAACATTTGATACATACATATTAATTTTATGAGACACAATAACCTATAATGATTTGGGAAATCTAAAATTTTCAATATAACTGTGGAGCCAAAGAAATTTCTAGTTGTGACAACATCCTTTTAGAGAGTTATGACAATAATTGAGTTTCTATGCTTTTCTTTTAATTTCACTACCTGATGATACCTGAGAGCAATGGACTTTTTTTAGAATCCCATTAGATACCATTATAATCTGATTTCCTTTTTTTTTTTTTTTTTTTTAATTTTTATTCATTTTTTATTTGTTTAGGTTTTGCTTCATCATCCCATCCAGGAGATTTCTTAACAAATGACCTTTACCCTCAAAAGAAAACACAAAAGACTTTTTGTAGCTTTAGCAACTCTATAATAATAATAGATTTTTAAAAATGCATTTTCTTTGTAGACCATTTATTTACAAAGAGTACATAATAGTAAATTATAATACAAAATAGTAAACCCTTTCTTTGTATGCTAGACCATGAAAGACTTGGTGTTCATAGGTTTGCTTTACTCTGAATGAAATTCACTCACTTGCAGAAAAACACCTTAAGGCATTTCTAAAATCTGAATTCCTTTTTTAGACCATCCAATTCCTTTTTTAGACCACCAAAGGCCTAGTCCTCTACGAAAGAATAATTTGATATAGTTTCCACTGATTTCATCAGCACCTCTGAAGGACTTTAGAGGGCTGTGTTGGTTCTCTGGGGACCAAAAAAATACTAGTACCAGTGGTGCCTACTCTTTCCTGCCAGTCCTTCTGTAGCTGTTCCAGCAGTCCCTTCTCTTTCTTTGGAAGTGTAAAAATACACCTGTGTTGAAGAAATGACACCTGAGTTGAAATATACCCGTGTTTACAAAGCCACCATAAAGTTTCCTCAACTGCAAAGAGTCCTTATGGTCTCTCAGCTTGTGTCCTATCTTCTTCATTACTGCACAGTGTTTCCTGTCTGCTGTGCCTGTGTAGGACTTGGGAACTTTGCTTTTTGGTTTACGTTTTTTGGAAGCTAACTGTTTTCAGCAGAGGTCTTCCATTTCAAATTTATATTGGGGTCCCATAAATCAATTGAAGAATGACTGTGTGGTCCTGTCATACCATAAATTAAATTAAGCAAATTGGGATGTTTTACTAGTAACAGGTGGATGTGCTTAAGATAGAATGGAAAAAAAAATCAAAATATATAAGAAAAACAAACACCAACAATTTCAGCCATGTTTCTGGTGCATGCTAAAAGCACATTATTTTTAAAAGAAAAAAAAAAAAAACAGTATTGAATTTACTAGAGGGATCCAAACACACCTCATTCAAATAAAGTTAAGAGTTTGCCTTTTCTAGCATGTCACTAAACAAATTGCATTAAATACACAAACATAAAATACACATGCATAATTTCTTCTGAAATTATCCAGCCTTTGATGAGGTACTATTATAAACAAGCACACATCATATATACAGAGATAATTGTCAGCTGCCTGGCTCCAAGTCAGTCATAGTATAGTGATATACATTTTGCCATCACTATACTGCTGTGCTTAAGCACCTCTGAGCCTGCTTTGCACAATGATGAGTTTGCAGAGAAAATCCTGGAGTTAAGAGGCAAGATGTTTTCCAAAGGCACCCTTAGCTGCTTTGTAGGCATGATTCATTCATATAAAGGAGCTGATGCTAAACTTTAAGCATGGAAAGATCAGTGAATAAAACCTATTGTTAATTTTAAAAGCAATTTCAAATGCCTTTACAGTTAAGCCATTTAATTTCCATTGGTTTAAGTTTAATCATTTTTCATTAATGTAAGCTAATTTGCAAGCTAATCTAATAAAGTAGCATGAAACATGAGGAGCAGTGCATTGAAATAAAGGAAGCTCAGTTGCTTGCAGCTCATTAAGGTTCTTGAAGTTTAGAAGACTAATTACTGTCTAAAAATTATTTTGTTTACCTCTACCTTTTGAGAGTTCCTGTTTTATCCCACAGTTTAAGATTCACAAGCCAAATTATCTGTACATATAATTTGGTAGAGCTCCAATAAAGTCAACAGGCCAATTTATACCAGTTGAGAATTTTAGTGTTTGTTGTTTATTTGTTTTTTAGTTGCTTGCTTGTTTTGAATGGAAGTTTATAAAAGCTTCCCTTTGAAAGAAACATTTTAGTGCAAGCTTTGGCAAGCCATGTTTCCTCTTCTTGTGCCTAACAGAGTGTATGGAGCACTTCATGTTGATGTTGATTACAATGAGAAGATTTAAGATTTAGACTGTAAAATTCATGCTGTAAGAGAATCAAATGTTTTTGTTTTTGTTTTTTTTAAATGGAGGCTGCAGGACTTCTCTTAATTTGTGTCTGAAATAGTACCTAATTTTTTGTAAAATGATCTACTTGCAAACTATTAGAACAATACTACATCACAGCCATTGGTAAGCTAAGTACTCTTGCTAGTAAAGATGCATAAAAACATCTAAAATCTTTTCTCTTACTTTTTCAGGTATTTTAACAACTTGACTGAGCAGTTCTTTACCAGATTTCTGTTTTCCGTGGATACTCAAGATTATTAAAAAAAATTTAACTTGTTTTTCTGCCATTCATTTCTGATCAAATGTGAATGTTAATTATAGTCTAACTTTAGTTCTAATGTTTCATCATTTAAAGATGATGGTGGTCATACAGCCAGGAGATAAGACAAAAACATTTCCCTAAGAGATGCATTTGCACATACTGGAATACATATTGTTGCTTATGCCCATGCAAATGATCCAGGTCACTCTGCAACAGTGACATGTTCTCCTTACTTGCCACAATTTTGTTGTTTCTTCTCTCTTTTTTCTTTATCTTAAATAGCACAGGACCAAGAACTGTTCCAAATTACTACATGTGTTATGAGATAATTAGTGTGGTACGAGATATAGACATAAAAATATGAATGCAACAGCTGAGTGTTTGTAAAAAATACAGTAAACACTGTGATCTTAAAATATAATCAAACATTCCATACTGTGCTACTTAGGGTATTACAGAAATATTGCAAAGCTCAATAGAATCAAAAGGAAAAATATGATTAACTTTAATGTTACACTAAGCATTTTTTATCTTCTTTTATAACATAGGAAATACAGAAATACTTCAACCTTCAGAAACACAAAAACAAAAGCTCTTTTCTTACATGTGCTCCCTTTTTCCCAAGCATCCCTCAGGAACCTCTTATACGAGTTTCACCCACTTTTTCTGTGGATGGGAGAGATGGATGAAGTATGTGCCTCAGGGATAGCTTTAAACCTGATCCTGACACAGTTTCAGTTTGCTGTTTTGACCTTGCTCAGCTATTGAGGGCCTTAGGGACTGCACTGAGATGGAGACTGCCTTGGTACCACTGGCTCTGTCCATCTGTCTAGATCACTGCACTAATCTAACAGAATGATTTTGCCCTTAAACAGACATAAATACTGCTGTGTAGGCAAACTAAGAGCCTCCTCCCATGCAGGAATTTTACTGAGCCAAATGGTGGTCTTGCAATGCACTTGGGCAGAGAACACTGGGCAATCATATCCCAAGTGACATTTCAGCAAGGCATATAGAGAATTTAATCAAGCATTACTGTCCTTGGGAGAGAGATCAGAAGCTGTTTCTGATCCAGATTTTTATTGGTACAGAAGTTGCAACACTGAACACATAATAGTATCCATAGTTCACAAGTAAAATGTGGGATTGGGAAGTCAAAACTGAGAGAAAGATGAGTGTGATTTTTAGACAAAATGAGACTATTGAATTTTAAAATGAGTTAACCAGGACAAAAATAGGACAAGAAAAGAATTATTTGAATAGTGAACAAATTGAAGTGAATAGGGTATATATCATATATTTCTTTCATCATCATTAAGAAAGCTGATTTTCTGACACTCACACAGATATTAAAAAAAATGTACTTTTGCTTTCTTTCTTTAAGTGAACTGTATTATGTGGCTGTACTAAAATCCACATGAATAAAGATTTCTGTAAAAAAATGTTTTATGAGCAATGCAATAACTGTGTATGCAATTAAAGATTTGGTTCTATGTCTGTATTTGAGCTACAAACAGGATAACACAGTGTCTTTTTCTTAAAATATGGAAATAAAATACAAAATTGGCTTTAGTGGAGCTAAGTTACGTGGTATTGTCCTAGCTGTGGTCAACTATAAAGAAGAAGAAAGCACAGAGAAGTGGTAGTTTGGAAACACTGTTGTGCTTGTAATATGTTGTTCCAGGGCTTTGTGGCACTCGCTCCTTTTTGAAGGCTATTCCATACAAGAACTATTTTCACGAAGAGTTTAATCCAAGTAAAAATCTACTACTATATTCAGTGGGATGGGAAATCAGTCCCCTTATGGTTCCCATGCTATAAATGGAGTCTGAAGAAGGCTTCTAGAAACATTCATTCAATTTTTTAAATTACAAAGTAGGATTACAAACTGAGTTAAACTGATTTGCCAGAAAAACCTTTTATAAAAATTCAAGTCACTGAATATGAATAATTGCAGATGCAGACATTCACACTAGAAAACTACTTCCATATTGTAAGGGTATGAGAAAATTGCTATTTTTGTAAGAGAATGGCAATTATTAAATCACTTGGAACTGTTTAAATGTATTGGATTGTGGATGTGACCATTAACAGTACGAACAGGTAATAGATATTTTCTTTCTTCTAAAAATCTAATTGCTCTCTGCTATATCAAGAGGAAATTCAGTATGCTGAGTGATTCTCTGAGGTCGCTTGCTGTGTTTTCCATCATTTTCTGAATGGAATTATCCTATGAATACTCTATAATTCAGATGAATAAGAAATGTTTTTCTATTTCATGAGAATTTGCACAGGTTGAAAAAAGTTTAAAAACATTAAAAATGCCAGAATGCTCATGAATTTCTATCTGAAAACAACCGTTGTTTTTTTTTGTTTGTTTGTTTTTTGTTTTTTTTTGTTTTTTTTTGTTTTTTTAATTACTTTCAAGGAAAGAAGAAATTATCCCTGGGAATGTTAAAACAGGGTTTTATTAAAATCTTTCACCTAGGATTTGCTTAATGTAGGTATTGGACTTGAGCACTGGCATTTTTTATTTCAATAAAACAAAATAAAATAAAAATAAGTTGAATTATTTCTAACATTTCTGTATTCAGATTTAGCAAATTATGAATCATTTGAAGTGTTAATGGCTTTATAAGGAGAACGAAATCACTGAGGTCACAGACACTTAGGCATGAGGCTTAGTTTATAGAAGATAAGTATGATTTGCTAAACTGCATGCAAGCAACATGTTCTGCTTCTGCAGGACAGATGTCTAGATCTGTGCCTGTAATTTCACTTGGTTTTCATCCCTTTATTAATATGTGAGAAAATTCTTGGTGTTCAGCATGCAAATTAAACTGTTCATATAAAGTAAAATAAAATAAAATGTTTCTGGAATAAGAAGTTGCCAAAATATACTGGATTCTCTTTATTCACATAAGTCACTAAAGCCATTTTATCCATCATTTTAAGGTCAATTAACCATCAATTTAAGGGCACATTAATGTATTTTACCACTAGGAAGTAATCTCAGTATAAATAAACCCAGATTCAGTGTATTTCCTTAGATAGTTCTAAAAGATAAATCAGGTCCATTGTGCCTTTGTTGGACAAGGAAAACTACATGCTATTCTTTCAGGATGTTCAGAAATTCTCTGTATGTGCCTGTGATATATCTATAGTCCTTCTGCCAGTTGGTTAATTGCAGCAAAAAAGATGATTTCAATACATCTAAGTTCTTTCTTGAAACGTAAGTTCACCAGCTTGATGTGAAGGGAAACTAAACATACTTTTCCCTGTTACTGTCAGAGGAAGAAAGAAAAACAAAACAAAACAAAATTAAATAAAATTAAAAAAAAAACACAAACCAAACCAAACAAAACAACAACAGCAACAACAAAACAAACAAACAAACAAACAAACAAAAAAAAAACAACAAAAAAACCCACAAACTCTATTAGAGGAATGGTAAAGTTTGTAAACTTGGGAAACACAGGAACAGGAGGGTCCTATTGCTTTTAAATGCAAATACACATTTACATGTTATGAAAAAATATCTTCTCTCACCTTCCAGTACTTTTTTCTGGATCATTTTCAGTAACCTCACAGATGGTCCTGCATGTAAAGGTAAAAGGTAAGATGGTTCCATGGCTTGGAGCTCTAAAAAATAATAATTGTTAATGCCTATTTCTTAGCAGATCTGTCACCAGTGACAGGGAAACAGCTTGTATGAATGTGACATTACTGCCCAGACCTGTGACTGCAGCAGAGACCAGGCCTATCATGGTAGGGCTATTTTATGACCATGTACACACACTTTGACTGGTTTATCACACTGTCCATAGTGATGTGGGTGCTTTTGTTAAGTCCAGACTGTGCCCTTTTCTGGGCTATCAATATCAAAATATTGTAATGGCAAAAGTAGTCACTCTATATTTCAAATATCTCAAATATCAGTGGAGGATGTAAAGGTAAGTGACCAATAAAAATTACATTCTCTACAGCTTTCTCCTTTAGCTGCTGGCCACAGAGCTCATGTTTGTATACTACTGGATTCAAGTCATGGTAGAACAGTTAGAGGTTTCGACTTTGGTTATATAAATAATTGTTCCAGAGTAAATCTCTGCCTGTTCCTCTATGCTCTTTGCAAGCCTGGGAATTTATGAGTGGATGAATTTAGAAGCACTGAAAGCATTACTTGATCAGCTTCACTGTCATCAGCAGATGTCACTGCAGCCATTAGTAACTAATGAATTGTTTAAGAAGATATAATGGCTAATTTGTCTGGTCAAAAAGGCATAAAAAAAACCTTTGAAAAGTGCCTTCTATTAAGTCAAAAGAAAAAATCGAGTTCATTGTCCTTTAATTTTTAAACAGGATGAGTTCCAAATCTATTACAGATCTGAGACAAATTATGTGGTGAATTTGTGGCATCTTCTGAGATGCTGATGAGAAAATGATAGCTGTTGTGCAATACTTAGGGTGCCAAAGGATCAGGTAAAGAAACCAGAAAAGAGATTTATGTGATCATAATATGAATATGTTGGCTCCCAAAGGATCATTAAACAAGATATTTGTCTCCCTCCCGGTGTTTTTAAATACTGAGCACTTATATCTAAAGACTTCTGTCTTTTTCTATGCAGCTTTGAGTGGCCAGAAAATGTTTCATGACTGTGATTGTTAGCTTGGGTCTTCATTAAGGCCAAATTTTCTAACTTGTTTTCACACAAAAAATAGTGATAGACTACAATATAAGAGACCATTTCTTTACACACACTAAAACTGGGATCTATTTCCTTCTGATATAATGAATTAGTCACAATATTTAACCTAACCTGAGCTGAGGACCTATATTCTAATTTATCCATATTCAGTGTGGCCCAATAAATTAATCATAGGGTTCTATATGTCAGTTCACAAATTTAATATATTTGTGGAGTGGTCTAACCAAAAATATCAGATGAGTCAATTCCTTGCTCATGTATCCTGTGTAATCACTGGATGATGGAATAGCAGAATGACTATATGAACTAAGAGGAAAGTTAGAGAAAATTTTAAGAAGCCAGCCCACCTCACTGTCCAGATTGCACTCTGAATGGAACTCAGCAGTGGGACTGAGTCTTGTACATTTTTTTTCCTGTTAGGACTGCTATAGTTTTTGAACCCCAGATCTTATAAATGCTGTGTTTCCACTGCATTAGGAAGACAGTGTCACATCTTCAAATTATAACAATATTAGTAGCCACTGTTTGTAATCTGGAATAAAAAAAAATCAAAACAAACAAACAAACCAAATGACGAACACTGGAACATACCTTTATACTTACTTTACTGTCATTAGCACATTACCACGTAACCCTGACAAATTCAACTTTTTCATTTTCATGTCAAATGGTAATTAAGTTTATGTGTTGCAATATGGGAGGAAGGACTATCATTTTGGTAGTGTGAGTTGTTAATAACAGGAAGGATTCTGGACTGTGATAAACTTTTAAAACTGTTTTCTAATAAACGTTCTCGTATTAAAGATTCCTTAGGCCTGAAATTGAAGCAATTAGGTTTTTTTTGTTTGTTTTTTTTTTTTTTTTTTTTGGTTAAGTCACTCAGACTGTACTGTCAAAACACAACTGTGCAAAGAAAAATTGTCTGGCATGCAGCAATGAAAAAAGGTAAGACTCTAAGGGTCAGCTCATCAGATGGTGTAGATCTGCCTTGTGCTACTAAAATCAATGGAGCTAGACAAGTTTACAGAAGTGGATAATGCTGCATCTTGGTAGCATGTGTGTGTGCCAGGAAAGTGCTGCTTGCAGAGGCACAGACACAGCTACAGAGTGGTGAATGAGAGAGAAAAGTATGGAGTGATGTGTACTAAGGAGTAAAAAGACATTTAACTTTGCTGAACATTTACCTCTGTACTCTTAAGGTTTATCAAGTCAATGAAATGTTTGTACACGTTTCCTCATTTTCTTTTCACAGTTGTGCTCTCAGAAAAGCTAAAAAAAATGGATTGTTAAGTATACCTCATTATAAAAAAATAAATATTCAGAGTATTTTAAATGCCAAATTTACTTCAGGTAGCTGCTATAAATTATTATGTTGCTTTTAAAAATGAAATGAAAGGAAGATAAATGAAGACCAATCATTTAAAATCTTAGTTTTCATGAAGGCTCGCACAGCACTTTTGCTATTGTATTTTTAATGTGTTATTGTTATCTTGTTAATGAATTAAATATTCCAGGCAAATACCCATTCTTGTTTTACATGAAAATGTAATATGCATGCTGATATTGCAGTGCAATGGTGACCAAATCTAGAGTTGTCACAAGCTATAGACAATATAATGATTCTGTGTTACTCTTGATGGAAAACTAATGACTTCAGACAGAACTTTTTTTTAATTCCTTTTTTTTTTTTTTTTTTTTCCTATCAGTGAAATTGCAGAAACAAATTAAATAAAGTGAACTATGTATGAGGGGGCACCTGGAATGGAATTTCCCTGTGTCTGCATACAAAACTCCAGAGTTAAGAAGACAGCCAGGGAACAGATGTCAAGTTTTACAGTACAGAAGTAAGGAAAAAGGCATGAAAAAAAAGTTTTTTTAAGAAGTGAAGAAATTCTGTTGCACAAAGATTCCCTCCCCATAGGGGACTACTAGACAACTTTGGAAAGTTGTGATGAATTATGTGCCACTGTAGTTTGGATTGTTTCTTAAATCACATTTTAAAAATACTTCACTATTGAACTATATTGTTTATACACTAGGAACACAATTTATATTAAGAGACAACTGCTTTTTAGGGTGTAAGATTTAAAAGAGAAGACTTCAGAAAAAGAATTTACAGTTTCAAGACAGATCTTCCTTTGACAGACAGGAAAGTCTATTTTGATTTACTTATAATAAACTTACTTTGGGTTATGCTGTGCTTAGCTATTGAGGATTATATCAGAGAGGAGTAAAGTATATTAGGTCTTTTTGCCCATTTGCACTGCCATTACAAATACAGGCAGCAGAAACTGCACAATGATGTTATGTGTGTGTGTGTGTGTTTTTAATTATTATTATTTTTTATTTGGAGAAAAGGTAAATTACTTTAAAATTTCTCATATCCTACTGAAAATTCTTAGGCCCTGGATATGAGAAAACATTTTGAAACTGAGCTCTGTGCTCTTTAATCATCTCTTGGACTTTTGTTTATATGCTCTTGTACCAAGGTTTTAAAATATTTTTCAGTGCACTGTTCCAAATAAATTATGAGGAAACTAACTAATTTGACAAGTGCTCTAGAAACAAAACCAAAAACAAACAAACAAAAAAAACTGTAAGGGATGTCAGTAATACTCTACTCCCTCTTCTAGGCAAGAATACAATAAATGAGTCAATATTGGTATATTAATCAATCTTTTTAGTCTTTTCTTTAAAATTTACAATATTAGAGACAACATGGCATCTCCAACCAATCCAATCAATGTACTACTGTAAGAAAAGAGACGATATATTTGTATTACTAAGAACAGATGAATTCTTACACTGTACTACCATGCAATGTGGCAGCAATATAACGTTCATTAAGCTTTTCGTATTGATCTTTATAGGTCTATTTAATGCAACTAACATAGTAATGTTAATCTGATGAGAACATATTAGGATAATTATCATCATGTCAGCTGCATTAACCTCTAACAAGTGGACATTATTCACTTCAGTCCACCGTGGTTTTAGTAATATGCAAAATTGGACTGATGGTATTAACACTAATCAGATGGTCTAATAACTGTTTTCTTCAAAAGACACCACTCACAGTCTGTAGGATAAGCTCGGAAATAAAGGAACTGTTATAGAGACACAGCATTGGCCTATGGTACATGGCACCGAAGCAGGCACATCCCACAATATGGTGAATATTCTTTTTGCTGAATACACAGAATTAATTTCCGCTGATTATCGTCAATAATATATATATATATATATATATTTTTTTTTTCTCTCTCCATCAGATAGCAGCACACATTCAGAAAGCTAGAGGGGCACAACACTCATTTTCAGGAATTACTGCTTATAGTTACTAATCAATGTATTCAATCTGCATAGTTTCAAAAGGACCAGGACAATATTACACTGTCTATTTTTTTCCCCTCCCTGGAGAGAACCAACAATTTCACTGCATCATTTAAGAGATCCCCACACTATTTGTGATATTTGTCATGTGAAACAAGTTTTAACACAGCATTCTTACTGGACTTGCCCTCATCAGTAAAAGAAATGGTTATTTTAAAATTCCTTTGTTTGAGTAAAAGTGCTTCTTAGAGCTTCACCAAGGATATTGTAATGAAAAAAAAATAAATTAGTAGATAGAGGTTTTTTTCTTAATAGCAAGAAAAAAGGACCTGTATACTATATCTGACTTACCCATGGTCACAGCTGTGCTAATAAAACAGAATATTAATCTGCAGTTTTACATCCAAAAAAGATTTGGAAGAGAACATTGCCTCTGAAAAGGGCATATGCAATAAACATTTACTGTAAATAAATAAAAGATTGAGGAAGCTTCCAGGAAATATTTGTGTATGTAAATGCACGTACCCATGCAAAATGGGAAGCCAGGCATGCTGTATT